TGTTGTTGTTATTGTATAATCATGATCATCTTCATCATTATTGTTATCGTTATTCTATGGGCATCATTATTACTATTGTTATTTATATTGTTAGTATTGTTTTTGTTTTTCCATTATCATTATTGCTATTATTATTTTATTTTCGTATTGTTGTTTTTGTTATTATTGGTATTGGTGTATCATTATCATCATCATTATTATAAGCATACTTATTGTTATGATTATTTTTGTTAGTATGTTATTATCATTATTATTATTGTTTTTGTTATTGTTGTTATTGTTATTGTCATGTTAGTAGTTTTATCTCTTAAACATGCTCACAAATTCACATGAAAGTACACATACACATATTTTATTATCATTGTTGTCATCATTTTTATCATTAGACTGATCCATGTTCTTTTATTAATTTCTGTGTTATTAGGTTTTTATTATTACTAGTATTACTGTTATTTTTGTTATAGCTTTTATTTATTTTATTTTAATTAATATTTTTTATTATTATTAGCTTATTGGTATCATCACCACTGTTATTATTAATATCAGTATTTTTCTTGGCACCATCATTATCAATCATTTTATCTGTTACACATAATGTTATGCATCTGTTATGCATAATGACACTTGCACATACACAACAAATTATTTTTTATTTGTATTATGATCATTATTATTACCCTCTCTCATTCAAATGAACCACGCTGAACTATTTTCATGCAAAAATAACATCTCTATTTTTGTTATCTGTATTTCATACCCTCTAAGCTTATCACTCCTTAAAAACTTGACTGTTGTGTCTTGGTTAGTACCATATAGTGGAAAGTATTGGGTAAAAGAGAGAATTAAAACCATTGTTTTGCATATATGATCTTGAACCATGATATTGAAAATTGGATGCTTAGTAGAATATACTTTTAGTATGATAGACCTTTCTTAGCTTTATTTAAGATGGAAACAATTGTTGCAATTTTTTTTTCCTAGAGAAAAGAAGTTGACAAATATTGGTTTATTTTCTTTCTCAAAGCAAGAAATGTATGCATTTTGACTTTTAAATTATATGCCAGTAGTTGAAGGGTGGTTGGGTGATTAATTAAAAAGACCTTTTATTTATAAATGGGATTTTTATTTTAAGCAAGAACTCAATAACATCTGCTAAATCATACTGAATGTAGACCCTTGTAACTAGACAGTCCACTTTAGACTGTGCATTTTAAGAACACAGAGCAATACTCTTAGATTTACAGAATGATATGTTAATCACAAATTGTAGTAAATCCAAGTGCACCTTTTTTTACCATTTTCTTGTTACACCTGCCTGAGGTAAAAAAAAAAAAAAAAAAAAAAAAATTGAACAACCATTTTGACTGTGTATGCATGCTTCATATGTCTTGCATCTGAAGCATTCGTGCTAAACAAATTGTAATAAAACAATGAAAAAAAGAAAAGAAACACAGGAACATGTCAGAGGACTTTATGCCATTTTTATGGTTTGTTCTTCCGATAACTGCCTGCCCAGTGGTTTAACCCACTGAATTATTTTCACACATTGAATATTATTTTGCTTCTGTCTGTGATATATTTGGATGATTTTATCTGAAATACTTTTGGGGAATTGTAACATCTTGTGAACTTGTCAGGCACCTGTATCATTGCTAAGACTGTTCGCTTTAAGATATGCAAAAGAATTTGCAGAATATATATGTATATATATATATATATATATATATATATATATATATATATATATATATATATATATAATATATATATATATATATATATATATATATATATGTATGTGTATAACTTTTCCATTGTGATAAAGCAGCAGCTTAACAGGGAAAAAGAACTATAGGGTCTCAATATTTTTTTTTAATCATGAAAACTTTTTTTTCCCCATTTATGAGCTTTAGAGATTATATGCTTAATTATTAATGATTTTGTTTTGCCAGTTCGCAAAATTTCAATACTTTTCTTAGAATGATACTGTTATACGATACCATAGCAT